CAAGCAGCAACTAACAAAACGTTTATCTAACACTCACAAAAATGATTATTTTTATGTCGTCATGCAGTTAAAAGAGTGTTCGTTTTTATTTTTAAAAACCTCATATGAAATAGATTATGATTGCATATTACTAAAATTAAGAAAAACAAACAAATCTCAATTAAAATAAACACTTATGAATCGACTTGAATAGAGGTATTCGGATTAGAAAAATTTCTGATAGACCAAGTTCAACAATAATTTTAAAGTTGAAAGAAAAAAGGATTAGTTAAAAATTAAATTTATAAAAATGACGAAGAGAAAAAGTTTTAAAATCATTCTTTTTCTTCAGTTAACAAAACGAAAAAATTTTAAATAATAAGAAAGTGAATGTAGGTGTATTCATAAAATAAGAACACGGAGGTGTTTATAACTAAAGTTCAATCAACGATTAAGGTCATTAAAAATTCCTATGTGTTAATCTCCTTTTCAGTTATTACCTTAATTAAAATAACATCGGGTAGATTTGTTAGATAACACTGGAGAATTGTTTTCCAGTTGCATGAGATATTTTAACAGATTTTAGATACTTTTGTATCGCTGATTTCAAATCTGCAATCGGTTTTTCTTTTCAAGCTACAGTTTTCTTTTTTTTTAAATGACATTTTTAGTCCATTTTTTGTCGTAATGTTCAATTTTTTTAAACATGTTGTATATAACAAGGGGTGACATATATATTGCAACTAACTGTTAGGGGAGTTAAGGCGCATTATCATGAATCAGGATTAAAATTGCATAGGATTCATGCCCCGAAATATCGTCGTAAGTGGCTAGGGTAAGGTGACCAAACGTCCTGAGATCTTAAGCACAGAGTCGTGATGGCTCAGGGGTTCGCCTTGCAATGAGGTGAACCTGGTCGATACGAATTCCGCACCCGGCTCGCGTCAACCACATTGCTGACGTAAAATATCCTCAGTGGTGGACAGATCATGGGGTTAGGGCCCCCTTGTCGTCAGGCTAACCGTGGGAGATATTCGTGGTTTTCCTCACTATCTAAAGCAAATGTGGGTTAGTTCCATCCAAAGTCCTCCATGAGGGCAAAATTCTCCCAATACTTGATCCAGGAGTTCCCTTGTCTTCTGGATAGGGTTCAAAATTCCATATCCAGGAAGAGTCCGTGTTTTCTTTCGTTTTCCCGTAATTATTGCATTTTAAACTGTGGACAATATATCTGATATGATTAGAGCAAAAATGTAAAATTCTCCTTTTCCTAAGAGGTTGGTGGAAGGGGGGAAATTGTAAGCAATTGACTTTTAAAATTTATTTGTCGAATCAACAATTTGTAAATGTGGACTTACAGCACAAAGCCCTTCAATTAGTTTATAAATTGATACAAAATCCAGGAAACAAATGAAAATAGAAAAATACTTTCACGTCCAGACTTAACATTTCTGCAAGATAACTCAACAAATATTTTATGTTTGGGTGCTATTGCCTGGATAATGTTCTTCTTTATTGTCTTTCCTGATAGTAAAATTATAGGAATATATATTTATTTTAATGTTTGAAAATTCTGCTATAGCAAAGTACTTTAAATACTGTGCAAAGAAGCAGCAGATGTGGAAAACCGCACAATTTACAATTTTCCGCCGAACATGCTCATAATATTTTTTTTCCCTACAAAATGTCTTTATTTAATAGATTAACTTGTCTTTAAGGGTTTACCCCATGCAACTAAACCTTTTTTTTTTTTTTTAAAATTCTAAAATGCTTTTAGGAACTTTCCTGGAAGACTATCCTAGGTAATTTAGTTAAAACCTTATTGTAATATTTAATAAATTGTAATTAAAAAAGGAACAAAATTAAAAAAGTTTCTCTTAACCACATTTTAAAAGAGAAAAAATTACCACATAATAATAGATATTAGGCAAATGTCTTCATGGTGAACTCAGTAATTTATTCATTTTTCATTCGATTTACTTAAATTTTTAGTAACATTCAAGAACGAAGCATTTGTTAAATGTTCTGTTAAACAAACAAATAACTACCTCTTTAAATTATTGCCTATGTATTAAATTTTTTTAAAACAAATTTTGTAGTTCAATAAAAAATAATAATAGCACACATAATTTTAACATATTTTGCTACCAAATTAAGATATCCACATTTTACGAAGATCTCTGGTTACCATTTCATCAATAGTATTAACATGGGCACCAGAAGGCAAAAGGAAAAGAGGAAGAACAATGTAAACATAGGAAAATAATGAAAAACCAGGTGGGATAGGTAAGCATGATTTATGGCAAAATAAATGCCACTGGGCATGCAAGAGGTAACATAGATAAGTATTAATTTTCATATGTATTTAGAAACTTACTTATTCAGGAAAACTAAAGCATACGTATTTATTTAGGAAAAAAAGGACAATATAAATCTCATTTAAAAATAGATTATAATAGATTATCATAACTAAATAAATAAATCATAACTAAATAAAACTAAAATAAATAACATGAAAATAGTTATTTGAAAATGTGAAAAAACATTTGACTTTCTTATATTTGTCTCAATTTAAACTATTCTTTTAGTCATTTGAGTTTCCTCCTATAAGAAATCTTTCAAATCAAACACAATTAATATTTGCCAGATATTAAAGTATACAACAGATCTTTTAAGTTAAAATAGTCTATCACTGATTAATTAAAAACAATTATGCGGTATATTTGGTTAACTTTTACACAATGAAACAAATTCAGTGTTCCCCTTAGTGGTTAGAAGGGTTCACAGAAGTAAATGCACCCTCTTTGCTCCTTCTGTAAAAATGTTATCCCCTTGTATTCAGAAAAAAGGAGTTTTTTTATTTTAAAAAAAGTGATTGCAGTTGCGGAAACCAGGAACTTCAAATTGCAAATTATTTTTAGGCTAAGTTAATAATTATTATTTCTCATATTTATTTGAGTATTCCTTAGCTAAATATTTTAAAAATATTTAGCAAGATCAGTGCCCTTTAAAACTGAAGGTGACCTTGTTTTTAAAAAAGCACCCTTTTTTAATTTTTGAGAGATTTCAGCAAATTAAGAATACCAAAAGTTTGGGAAATCTTATAAAGTACAATTACCAACTAAGTGAAGCATACAGTAAAACAAATCATTGCACAAAAAATGTAAACATACAAATACTCCCAATAAAACTTGAAAATGTTTAATTTTGAAAATTTAAAAACAATTTCAAATGAAACTATAATTTTTAACCCAGTGGTGGTTTAGCAAATGTGCAAAATTGGGAGAAAGTTTCTCCTCATTACACTCTTTTCCTTTCTAATAACATGGAAAACCTGGTTTTGCTATGTAGAAAAGACTGTGGGTTAAAATACGACCTGCAAAACTGTCAGTAGGTTATAAAAAAGTCGTTAACTTCGAAGAAAAAAGTTTTTTGTCATTTAGATATTAATTTAAGAAATTACATTTTATGTTTATATAGAGCAGTTGCTTTGTGACAAAATATATAAATAAATGTTTTCAGTTTTTTTTAATACTTAAGATATTATAAAGATGTTAGAAAAGCTGCAATAAAAAATACATTATTTATAGTGCATTACTTCATAACTTATACTCTTTCGGAACAAGTCCACTATAATTTAAAACTTATTAAAAAAAAATTTTTTTACTAAATTTTAACAGTTAATTACTCATTAAATTAGGAATCATCTTTCATAACAACTATTAAAGAATCAGTTCTTTATGATTACATAGTGATCAGTGTAAATGGCGACATTTAAATAAAGGTTTACATAACATTTATATATTATGAAGAGTCTTTTTGACCTGAAGGTATATCTATCCTCCTCAATAATTAAAAATTTAAAAAAGTCTTCCTTAATATTTGAGAAAAAAAAATTAAACTTTCATGAATCATTATCAATTTAAAATTAGTTAAGAGAAAAAAAATAATCAATTATTTTGCAGATGAAAGATTTTTTTTTTTATTTCGAGAAATTTTGAAAAATATTGTTGATGTATTTTAAATTCAACCCCCTCAAAAATTGGAACACCAGAGACAAAATTTAACACCTAGTTAAATTATTTAGAGATAACAACACAAAAATATTTATATCTGTTTTATAACCATCATAATAAAGTTCTTAAATAATTCTGATAATATGAAGAGCAACAAAAATTCGATAAAATCTCGTCTTTTAAAATAAAGAACATTTAACACAGATTTTCAAAAAATACAATCAAAATTGATTTTTAAAGAAAACTATTGAGTTAGATTTTAATTAAAATCAGTCAGTTAAATTCTTAAATAGTTAATAAGAATTCTGTAAACAGGCATATTAAAGGAAAAAATTTTCCTGTTTAATGTTTCTCTCAGAATTTAAATTAAACACTTAAATTAAAATGTTTCATTTCTAACATTAGTTCTTTTAAATGTAAAACAAATAATAATTTAAAAAGTGAATTCCATTAAAATAATTATTAATGAATTGATTTTTAATAGGTGATTTGAGAAACAACAAAATTTATAATTTAAGAGTATTTCAATCGAATAGTACATCAAAAAAATTGCACGAATGATTATATTTTTGAAAATTTTAACTTACAAGATACTGGCTAATAAAATAAGTACAAAAATATTAAACCTCATTTCATTAGGTCATAACTCTACGAAGTAAACTAATAATTTAAAACGTGAATTCCATTCAAATAATTGTAAAATATGCATTGATTTAAGAAACTACACAAAATTAAAAGATACGACTTTATTCAAAAGAGTATTTCAAGTGAGAATTGCACCAAAAATCAGCACGTGATTCATAGATTATATTTTTGAAAGTTTTTAATCTGCAAGATATATAGGTTCAGAAATATTAAAACCTATTTAATTTGGTAAATCATAATCAAATTATGTATAATCAAATTTGAAGGATTTATGAGTGATAACATTTACTACAGTTTACGTTTGAAAGATAAAAATACTATTAAACAGATAAAAGCGTTCATTCATAATAATCAACTTACCATTCAAAACAACAATAATACAAAGCACGTTGTTGACGATTCTGTTCTATAAACTATCAACAAATATTCCAGATATTATATATTGCACAGATCGTTGTAATCCTTGAGTGAATATTTTTAAATATTTATATGAAGTTGTCTTCAGTAAACTCCTAAGAATGTTTTGAACTGAAATATCACAAGAGAAATAGAGAGTGCAACGTGAACAGATTAGTCGTGATCACGAACCTGTTTTGATTCCGGGTGAAATTTAGCAATCCCTCAGGCAAATCCATTCTTTAATTTTTAATCTATCGTATTGCCATCTACTGGGGATAAAAATTACTACCTATTACATTGCGTTTTGTTTATTAAAGTTTACTTACTTATGCTATTGGAATAACGATGTGTAGCATGGTTTTTCATACGAAGAATTAATACTTACGTTGCAAGTCGTTTTAAAGGGTACACAGAACAGAGTAACATTTTTGGAAAAACAAATGGTTTGGTAATTGGCTAACCTATGAAGAGGTGCCCATCACCCAAGCCTTATGGGAACACCCCCATAAATTCCCCCCTCCCCATTCCAGCAAACACAAATATGGGTCATTCTCACAAAAAGGTGATTTTTTAAGACCCTTAGTAATAAATATTAGAAAATACAGCAGATTTCTTATTATTTTTCTTCACCATTTTTTGTAAAGTTCTAACTAACAAATCATATGCATTTCTGCTAAAAGTATTTAATATTTCATTCTTATTTTTTAATGCACATAACTTCAAAATCCCCTCCGTGGACGTCCCTACGTCTGTGACACAAAATAATTTTTAATGGCTGTTAAACAATTTAAATGTTATTTTTATAGTTTTACCTAGTTAAATGTTTATAGTAACTTTTTATTTAATATTTTTAAAAAAAATAATTTATTTTTATAAAAAAAATGACTAGTAAACTTTGTCCATCAAAAATGAAATCTCCCACCGTGGACAATTAATATAGTTCGGTAAATATGCAATAAAGGCCAGCATGTGCGAAATCCCTATAAGACAGCTGCTGGGAAAGGTAACCATTCCATTTTCTAATGTTAACTATCAGTTGTTTTTGTTCTCTTTGGTGTCAGTTTTGGATTGTTGTGTTCAACTGGGGTTTGGCAAAGTTCTCACCGTATACTCCGTGGACATCATAAAGAAGGTAAGAGAAAATTATTTTATTTTTGATAGATGAATTTTAGATTGCAAAAATAATATATTTAATAAAAAGAACTGCCCCATTTTTGTAACTTTAAAATTAAAAATCAGTAAAATTCAAGAACTAGTTTTTGTCTCCTCCGTGGACATAACAAGTCCACGGAGGAGAAGACACAGTCAATGGAAGAGACAATGTGTTAGATAACCATAATACAATTTTAATAATTAAAAAACTATTTTCTTTTAATTGATATTTTTTAAAATGGAACAAATGTGTTAATTTGTTTGTATTTTTAAAGAAAATCAATTAAGTTTAACTTTTTCTTATCGGAGAAGTAAATATTGGCAATTTTTCTAAATAATTTCTGTGATGTTTAACATTTTTTTTCTCTTCAAATTTTAGGAAAAAAATGGCAAAACCAAAATGTAAAAAAAGAAAGCAATCAAATGTTCAAATGCAAAAGAGAAGGGAACAGAAAAAACTTAGTATGAGACAAGCTAGACAGAAATTAAAAGAAAACCCTATATTGTTTGAAGAAAGTAAAAAAAAAAAAAAAAAGCAAGAAACTTTAAAATTTGTTTCAGAAAAAGATTTAACAAAAAAATCGTGATTAAATGTACTTAAATTTCTAGAAATTGATAGAGCAAGCCGTTTGTGCCCAGGGAAAAAAGAAACAATAACAAGAAGAAAAGAGAAAAAACAAAAACGTTATTTGGATGACAGTATGTTTAACTTGCATAAAATGTTCATAAAAGAGTACCCTCAACACTCAACTTTCATGTGGAGTCTGAATTTTTATTTCAATAGTCTTTACATTTTAATTTATTAATATTCAGTAAGAGTTACTTAAAAAATTGTACACCTAGGTTAAAAATGGATGTTTCCTTTCATAGCAGCATGATTAATCGGAAGTAGCTCTATCTCTAATAATGAAATATTTTATTATTTACTTATTAATGTTAAACTCATATCAGTTGTACCCAATAATTAATGAATTAGTCTTCATTGACATTTTATAACATAAAATGTCTCCTCCGTTAACTATTACATCTCCTCCGTGGACAAGGCAGAAATTAAAATATTTTAAATCTTGTAAAAAATAAAGTAGAAAACTTGACCATTATTATAAGGACATATAACAAAAATAAATAAAGGCATTCATGTAATTTTTATCACATTTTTAATTACTTTAATTTAAGAAAATGTTTTAGTCTATTTATGTCTTTTCAGTGAGAATGACCCATATATATATATACAGAATTTTTTTTAAATCATTTTTTTCTATTTAATAATCTTGCATATGAGCATAATACAATTCTCACATACGAATATCACAATGTGAAATTATTAGAATTGAGAACATCTTTGAACTCCTTAAGATTCCTTATAATTTAATCTTTGTGTTAAGTTATTTTTCCCGTAAACTTCAAACTAGTTTCTACATATTAGATAATTTTATAAATTATTTTTAATTAAATATTTACATTTTTAGGCTCAGTTTTGCATTGGAAAAGGGATTCTTTCTCATCCGTTTCTTTTCGCCTTTTTTACTCCAGTGATTTTTTTCGATGCTTCATTTTCCGGGATGTTTGTTGCGATTGTGTTTTCTGGTGCTTTTTTATTTTTTTTTCCATTTACACGCGAGAATACAAATTCTCAAGCATACCACGATGGTGTCTGTTTTATACAAGTTTAAATTAGCGCGTTTTGTGCAGAACAATTTGTATCAGCTAATGTAATTAACAGTTGATAAAATTTATGATGGTTTATGTTGGTTTCAGGGCAATTCATGATGGTTCAACATCATTTGATGGTCACCATTATCTAACAGTCTCTATTACGAGTTCATGATTTTAGATATGTCAACAAATTTATATCATTCCATGATGGAAAATGCTATTTTAATACTATGATGGTTGACCATCGAGATGATTCTCATGGAACAACAATCCATGATGATCCGTGATTGTCCATGATGATTCCAACTGTACATTTCCATGTTTGTTTAGGGAATTATAGATGGTTCTGCTGGAATATACCATCAAAACAGCTTCTTTTTTTTTCATGTTGGCATATCATAAATCAGTCCGAATTCCTACATGGGGGTAATGTTTACTTATGTTAGTTACCATCAAAAATATAATAGTTCATGATGGAATTATTGATTTTTACCATCAAGATTATGTTGGTCCATCAATGGAAAACCATCGAAAATTTTGACTTCTGGAATCAGAGGTTACGTAACCCTGATCGCTTACCAACCTCAGGAATTGTTTGTTCAGTCTTTTTCGCACTCTTTTCACCTATCCAAGCTGGGGAAAAATCAAGATATTGGTGTGGATTGATATTTTCTCCCTTCATTTTTTTATAACATTCATTGAACAGCCGACCCCATTTTTGGGTTTATGACTACTAATGTTCAATTCCGCAGTCTTGTAATTTTGAACCCTATCCAGAAGACAAGGGAACTCCTGGATCAAGTATAGGGAGAAATTTGCTTCGAGGAGGACTTTTTCATGGAACTAACCCGCATTTGCGTTACATGGAGAGGAAGAGCACGAGAACCTACCGCAGTTAGACTGACGGCAAAGGGACTCTAACCCATGATCCGTCTACAACTGAGGATATTTCCCGTCTGCGCTCTCTCCTTTCATTTGAATTTAATACTTGTAAATTTCCTTAATTCCACTATTATGTGATTTGAATTTTATTCTTTAAATCAGGAATGAAATTTCCTATAACCATTTCTCCATTGGTGATCGAATATTAAGAGTTCGTGAGTAAATTCTATCTAGTAAAATGTTGTATTTTAACTACCATCTTCTACCCGAAATAGAGAAGTTTCCGTTTATGATCTTTAGATCAGGATGTCAATATAGACTAAAGACAACATACAGAAACTCTTTGAAGACTGAGACCTTAGAATTTCTGCAAAAGGGGACCTCCCCCCCTTAATAGAGTTCAACCCTAGGACCGCAATTGACAAATGTCTTCTTTACCTTTACAAATGCAAGAAATTTAAGTATAGTAATATTTATATATAGATTTCAAAACCAAACATAAATATTATTATACTTAAATACGTAATGATAGATATAACTATCTGGTCTCTTAATAAATCGTAATCTTAAAACACTTTAACTACCACTTCTTTCATTTTTGAAATAAAAAAAAAAGAATCAAAGATCTGTTTTTTTAAAAGGCATAAACGAGTCATGTGCCCTTCCTCCCAAAACTTCAGCGTTTTTTCAATATCATGTTTCTTTCCTTAAAAAAATTATTGATTTTTAATCAATTATTTAAATTTTATCAATTATTGATTTTTTTAATTTATTCAATTCTAACTAAATATTTCAATATAATAATAATAATAATAAATTAATTAATACAATTAAATAATTTAATTAATATATTATATTCTAAATTCAATTAAGTTAATTCAATTTATATATTAATCAATTATGGAATAATCAATTATGATGGTTAAGCGAAATAATTTCTGATTTTACATCTATTTAATACATAATTTACTGATTTTGCATTTATTTATTACATACATTAATTAATTACTTAATTCATATTTATATAAGAGATATTTTCAAAAGCATTCAATTATTCATTTTTTTAAAAATGAAAGTCAACATGAACTCAATTATTTTAATGAAAGAAAATTTAGCACTATAATTAGCGACATAATTGTAGTTAGTAGTTGTTTAGGATAGTTTATAAATTATAAAATATTATAAAAAGTATTGTCATAGTTTTTCAACACAATTAGTAATAGTTTTCATGACGACTCTTTTTTTCAGTCTAACTTTAAGAAAAAAAAATTTTTTTCCTTTTGTTTCAGAATTTTACATAAAACTCACCGTTCGTCAAAATATATTTTACGATTTGTTTTAAGTATTAAATTTTAAAAAAAGAACATTCTCATCAATTTAAAGGAATTTTAAAATCTCCCTGAAAAACTATTAATTATTGATAATTTTTTATTTATCAATTATTGATGGTTGAAAGGATTACAAACGCTAATTAATTAATGCTAGGAATGACAACAGTAACTTCCAGAGTGGGAAAAACCGTGTAAAAGTTCTCCCGGGAAGAA